CACATACATAGATGACTTGCCTAGCATATGACATCCTGAGCTGGACTGTGGATATGGCAAAAACAAAGAAAAGATAAAGCCAGGTACACTGCCACACACCTGTAATCCTACCACTTGAGAAGCAGAGGTAGGAATTCAAAGTCATATTTAACTACATATAGAGTTTGAAGCTAGCCTGGGCAACATGCAACTCAACATCCTCTACAGTTGTTCTATCATCCAAAGAGACGCTGGATTTCTTAACTGTCCTGGGGAGGCGTGTCCTGCTCCATGACTGGGAATGACTGGACCATGGAGTCCGGAGGGGTCATTAGACAGTTTCAGCTGGTTGTGAGCACCATGTAGGTGCTGGGAATTGAACCCGGGTCCTCTGGAGGAGCAGCCAGTGCTCTTAACTGCTGGGCCATCTCTCCAGCCCCTATATTTCCCGATTTATAACTTTGGCTATGAATTCTAGATGTATACCTAACACTTAAGTAAACACCTTGAAATTCACACATCCAACACTAAATTCTTAATCTTGCCGTTGTTAAAGTTGCTCTTTCTTAGATCATTTATATCTCAGTAAATGACAGCTCTGGCCTTCATCTTCAGGACAAAAATCTTGGAACCAGGGCTAGCCTCTGCAGGCACCAGGCATACTTGTGGTGTACAGACATGCGAGTAAAGGACCCACACACATAAAGTAAAATAATAATAGTATATCTTTTTTTCCAAGACAGGGTTTTTCCTGTGTAGCCCTGGCTGTTCTTTTAACTCACTTTGTAGATCAGGCTGGCCTCGAACTCAGAGATCTGCCTGCTGCTGCCTACTGAATGGTGGGATTAAAGGTATGCATCACCACCATCTGGCTATATATATCTTTTAATTTTAAACTTTGGAATCAACCTTTGGCTTATGGGTTTTACATTTCATGTTAAACTGATCCCTTTTCATGCCTCTGCTGCTGCATGGTGGGAGGAGCCACTGTCACCTCTTCCTATAGAATCTCCATGTTTGTCCCTTCTACCTCACAGTCTGCTTGCCAACAGCAGTCAAGACCATCCTTCTAAAGACAAGGTTGGGTCTGGAGAGATGCCTCAGTGGTTAAGAGCATCCCCCATTCTTGCAGAGGACCTGAGTTCAATTCCCTGCACCTACTTCAGGTAGTTCACAATTGCATTGTAACTCCAGCACCTCTGGCCTCCAAGGACACACCTACAAACACACACAATTTAGAAAGTAAACAAATAAGTATTTCCATGATCAAATCTTTCTAGGGTTTCTCTGTGTAGTCCTGGCTGTCCTGGAAGAACTTGCTTTGTAGACCAGGCTGGCCTCAAACTCAGAGAGATCTGTGTGCCTCTGCCTTCCGAGTGCTGGGAGACTGCTGGGATATAAAGGTGGGCATCACCACCACTGCCTGGCAAAACCAAAAATCTTTACAGTGGCTTAGGAGGCCTCCTTGGATCTGAGTTCCTTTAGATCACCCGTTTCTTCCCAGTTCCTCAATCTTAAAGCCAATCCATTTCCCCCTGGAGAATTACTCCCCTCACTGGCCTTTCTATCCTTTGGAAATACCAGGCATGTTCCCTTTTCAGGGCCTGTCTTGGAATTTTGTTATTGTTGGTGTAAGGCAGGGTCTCACTATGCATCTCAGGCTAACCTGGAATTCACCAAGTATTCCAGGCTAGCCTCATAGCCTCAAACTCCCTGAGGTCCATTTGCCTCTGCCTCTCCTGTGTTCAGACTAAAGGCATGGCCTAGAGCTGGTCTTGAATTCTCTCTTTTCAAAATTTATTTGTCAAATTTACTTATTTTTCTTTATAGTATGAATGTTTTGCCTACATGCATGTATGTGCAACAAACCCATGCCTGTTGGATCCATGAAAGTAGGATTGTGAATGGTTGTGAGCCCCCATGGGTGCTAAGGATTGAACCTGGGGCTTCTGCAAGAGCAACAAGGACTCTTCACTACTGATCTCCCCAGGCCCCTGGCCTCAGGTTCCTCATTAGGTGCTCCTTACCTAGAGCTCTCTGTCACTTGTGGCTACAGTTAACGTCTGAGGACTGAAGCAGAAACGCCGCAGCAGCAAAACAGGCTCTTTGGAATAGGTATAGGGGACCAGTGATCCAGTGGGGGGAGGGAACTTCGCTTAGACCTTGGGATCTAGAAAGAGCTTGTAACCAGGGCTCAGAGTTCTTGCATTTGAAGCACAGGCAGGCAGCAAGCACCACCCTTCCGGCTGGGAATGGGCAGCCCATCCATGGGCCTCTAATGGACAAGGGGGTAAAATTCCCAGGGTGATTTACAAGATTTGGGGCGAACTGCTGAATGTGGGGGTTTCCTTGGCGTCCAGCAGGTTTGTCTACAACATCTCTGGCGCCTCTGGGTGGTAGCCTTCGGTACTGCAATGGAAGACCAGTGAGGTGGAGGGAGGCAGCACAGTTGAGCTCACCGCTACAGGCGCATCCATCCCTCCAGGGCCTATAATTTGGGTTCCCTGGGCTGGCCGCCCCTATCAGCGGCTTAGCAACAGATGAGTCACCCAAGACCCCAGCCAAGGCAAACATCAGGGAAGGGGAGGAGGAGGAGATTCCCGAGTGTAGCCTGGCTTTAGTCACCGCCTCAGTTGCTTGATTCCCCCATCTCCAGAGGCCCCCACTCTTTTATTTGACGCTCCTCCACCCTTCAGGGCTTCGATGATCTTCCCACAGGGTCTCGCTACACTCTTCATCTTCATGAGAGGAAGAGGAGCCTTCTACTTTTCTCATCAAACAGAAGGTGGACCAGGTTGCTCTTATTTCCTCCCTGCCGTGATGGCAGCCCCCTTTTCTTCCCCCTTCTTGTCTTGGTCCCAACCCTTGTCAAGGTCTCTCTGGTTCCTGCCCCTCCCCTTTCTTGGAGCTGGCTGCGTGCTTGGGGTATTAGGCAATGGGTGTGCACCCACAGCCCTCTCCAGGCCCCGCCTGTCCCACCGCCCTCTAGCTGCCTGTGGGTCAGTGCTCAGGCCAGACGGTCGCAGGAGGGCACCGCAGGCCAGTTCAGGCCACCCACTGCCTGCTATAGCCTCTATCCAAGAGTTAGACTTCAGCAAGGATGGAGAACTGCAAGGGTGATCTCTTAGACTTGGGACAGTCCAACCTGGGGAGCCCCCAGGTCACTGAGAAGTTGAGCCTCTGGCTGCTAATCTTCCTTCCTCCCGTCAATATTATTATTATTGGTTTTTAGAGACAGGGTCTCTCTACAGAGACCTGGTTGTCCTGGAACTCAATGTGCGGACCAGGCTGACCTTGAACTCACAGAGATCTACCTGCCTCCGCCTTCCAAGTGCTGGGATTAACTTTGTGGGCCACCACTCCCCAGCTTGCCTTAGCCCCTTAGTTATATCTGACTAAACGCTGGAGCCACACAATGACAGCATCAAAGAGGGGACAAATAGAAACAAGACAAAATAAAATTCAAAGCATGAATGGGACCATGGGCCATGTGGAGAAACACAAATGTCCAAGAGATGCTGATGGAGGAAAGGGTGTGTGAAACGTCCTTCCAGGGGCCTGGGTGAGTCCCAGGCTGACAGGCAGGAAGAAGGATCCTGGGTTCTGGAGTAAGAAGGGAAGATACCGAGATAGTATTTTTCCATCTTGGAAGTCATACGTGATTTGGCCCTCTTCCCCTAAATAAGGAGGTTTAGGAGGTCTTGGACTGCCTTTCCCTACTCCAGAGGTGGTAGAATCAGAAAGAGTACCCTACTGTGGCCCAGGTTGTCTAGCATACTGGCTCAAGCACCCTCCCCTCCCCAGTACTCATTGAGTAGCCCGGCCGACCTAACCTCCTCTGTACTGTTTAAACACCTAGTCAGTGGTGTCCCTTCAGCACAAGACAAGACTTGCAAGAATGCAGACTGGTGCTGGCTGCCCAGCATTGCTGCTTGCCACCACCAATGGAGAGGTGGTTGTGGCTGTGGGTAGCAGCCCTGTGCTTCTGTTTCCTGGGGAGTCGTCCCTGAGTCAATGTGCCTTGGGTGCGCAGGGCCAGCCATGCTGTGCTTGGGGCTGCGGTCTGGCAGGGGCTGGGGGTGGTTGGGAAGCCTGAGGCCCCTCTCTGGCAAAAATAGTCCGCAGTGGTTAGAGCTAGAAGGGTGAGTCAGGCGGGAGTGCGGTGGCGCCTAACCCCTTCACTGCCGCCAGAGGTAAGGCATTTATGCCTCTGCCTGTGCGCACCCAGGCAGGCCAGGTTCTTTTCTGGCTGCCCTGGAGTTGGGCTCCCTTTGGGATCCCAAGGCCTCCCTCAACCCTTATGAAGCAAATGTGCGAGCAGGGAGCAAGAGCATGAATCTGGGTCATCTCAAGCGTTCAATCAGGAATTCTGGTTAGGCGACCCCTGGAGAGAATGCCTAAGCAGAAGGAAAACGAAGGGGCGGAGTGGAGATCTTTGGGGCTACCCGAGCCTTTGACAGAGGCCAAATTCTGAGGCCAAAGTTGACCCCTCCCAAGGGGCAGGCGCGTGGCTTCGAGGTGGGCGGGAGCCAAGCCGCACTGTGGCTCCTCACTTGCAAGCTCACAGTGCCCTGGTGCGCACAGGCTCGTGGGCTCTTCAAGAGACTGTCAAAAACCCGAAGGTCTCCCAGCTCTGTCCTCAGGTCCTCAGCCTGTTAAAGGGGCTCTCCAGTCACCCACTCTTAGTGGACAAACGGAGGCAAAGAAAAACGATGGAAGATACTGCCATTGGGACCAGATCCTGGCGCCTTAGCCAGGGTCCCTGCACTCTCCAGATAGCCTCGGCGACCCCAGAGCAGGTGAGAGGTGCTCCGGCCACTTTCCCCCTGAAGTGGAGCTGATCGTGATCCCGGGTGTCGGGGCAGAGGGTGTGCGTGTGTATGCGTGTGTGTGTGTGTGTGTGTGTGTGTGTGTGTGTGTGTGTGTGTGCGCGCGCGCGCGCGCGCTTTTGGGGGAAAGCAGCTGCGTTCCCCTGGTCAAAGCAGGGGGTGGGGTGCGGGTGGGGTGGGGATGCCTCGGGCTCTGGGAGGGGCCGCAGCTCCGTCAGCTCCAACAGAACCACCCGTGAGTTAGGTCGAGCCCAGCCAAAGCCCCCGGTGCTTTGTCGCGGGTTCGCTCGCTAGCTGTCTCGATCACTCCCTCCCTTCTACCCTTCCTTCCTCCGGGCGGCCGCGGTAACGCTGGAGAAGCGGCAAAGAGGAGTGGCCCAGCGCTGGGAGAATGCTGCTCTACCGAGGGGGCCGAACGCGACCCAGTCTCCCCACGGTTTAAGTCGCACAAGAGGAACCCAAGTAACCCAACTGCGAGTGTTGAGGATCCTGCACCTGAACCGCTGGAGGTAATGGGGAGGGAGAGAACAGGGTGGGAAGAGACTAGACAGGCATGCGGACAGACAGACAGACAGACAAGCGTTCACCCTCAAGAGCACAGACTCCCCGAGAAAGCCAGAGATATCGCTAGAGATACCTACAGAATAAAGGAGTGCCTTCGGACTTAGAGGGCAATGGACGCTAGCAAAGGGGTGGGGATTGGGGTGAGACCCATGGGGACAACACGGGTGGCGCTCTCCAGTGGAAATTTGTAGTTGGGAAATGGGGGTGGATGGGGAAGTGGACTCAACTAGAGGGTTTGCGGAGGGTACCTGGTTTCCCTGTCGCCTTTGCTTCACCTGACCTTTTCCCCTGTTGGGCATAGAGATCAGAGTGTGGATTAGAGCGCCTGGTCTCGGACCCTTCTCATATAGCTTGTCTGGTAGTGCCAGCACTAGGAGGCGACGCCCCTCCAGGTGGTGGGGAACCCCCTTCTGATCCCTCCCTCTAACCCTGTGAGGGCGGGTAAATCAGTCGTGGGGCCCTCAGAGAGGGAACAGTTGGTGAGGAGGGATCGAGGGTCTGAGAGGAACTGTCTCAAGTCCGCATGTGAGTGTCTCAGGACCCTGCGACGTGTCTGGCTGGGTCGGACTCCAGGGGCATTCCGAGGGTCCTGAGCTGCTTGGATTCTTCCTCTTTGAAGGGTTCCAGAATCCAGACACTGGAAGTCAAGGGGTGACTATTATTGTTTAGTTTGGGAAAGGGTGAGAAAAGCCAGTGGGGCCACATTGGTGGCTTAGGGAACATCCTTCGGTTCCAGGGAGCCATTCTATCTTCCCGCAGGCGCTGACAGATTCGCCCACCGGAGCCTCCGGGCTTCGACATGCTGGAGGAGCCCCGGTCTCGGCCTCCGCCCTTGGGCTTCGCGGGTCTCCTGTTCTTGGCTTTGTTCAGTCGGTGAGCATTTTTCCAGTTTTGGGGAAAAGCACCGACCTGGGCTAGAGGGTAGCTGGGGGGCGTGTGACTAGACCACAGACCCCCCGAGACGGCTTGTCCCTTGTTCTCAGGGCTCTAAGCAATGAGATTCTGGGCCTAAAACTTCCCGGTGAGCCGCCGCTGACGGCCAACACCGTGTGCTTGACCCTGTCCGGCCTGAGTAAGCGGCAGCTGGGCCTGTGCCTACGCAGCCCCGACGTGACGGCGTCCGCGCTGCAAGGGCTGCACATCGCTGTTCACGAGTGTCAGCACCAGCTGCGCGACCAGCGCTGGAACTGCTCGGCACTGGAGAGCGGCGGCCGGCTGCCGCACCACAGCGCCATCCTCAAGCGCGGTGAGCCTGTCGGGGTGGCTGTCTGTGCTGCCGCCCAGGGGTTGGGGGCAGGCCGAGGCGCGCGGAGGCGGGAAGGGACCGGTTCGCGGCTGCGGGAGGGGCCTCTCCGGGAATTTCCCCACGAGCCGCGCTCAGCTGGGTCTGGTCACCCGTCTGGGCCTCTGCCTGCCTGCCTTCCACCTGCGTTGCTGGCGAGGCATCTGGGTCCCTGCTCCCCCTACCCTAGGGCCTTCCTTTTCTGCCTCCACCCAGCTCGATCTGGGATCCACCTGTGAACAAGAGATGCCCCCCAACCCAAGAAGCTTCAAACACCCCCTCTACCCCCTATTTTCTCTCCCCTCCCTCTCCACCCAGACAAGCCCAGACGGGTGTCCCCAGAGTCTCAGCGGGGGTGGGGTGACGCCCCCAACCGTTTAAGGGTTAAACCTGCTCCCCTAATTGCTGGGGTTCCCAGGAGCCAAAGCTGGGAACAAAGACCCTGATGGCTTTGAAGCTGGGGAGCAGCCCCCTCCTCTGTGCTGTGTGGGCCCCAGGTGTCCCTCACCTGAGCAGGTGAGGAATGGCTGGAGGGGCCTAGAGCAGGTCACTGCTGGCCTGGTCTAGAAGGAAAGGTCTGGGAGGCTCCACTGTCTTTTCCTGGGCTCAACTGGGGTCTCCTCCCTGAGGAGTAAAGATCCAAGGGGCTCAGTCCAGGGTAGAGTAGTGCTTTGGGGTCTATGGGGTTAATAGGCAGCTGCCATCTGCAGGGGAATTCCCAAGACGTGTGCAAACAGCTTCACCCTTGGATGGTTGGGGGGATCTTGAGGCTGGCCCTGGAGTCCTAGATTCCCTGGTAAGAGGCGCCTGGCCTCTGACTGACTGTCTTTCATCTTCTCAATACTCCAAAGAGCCCTTGCTTAAAACCGAGTGAGGGACCTTACCTTCTCTGCAAAGCCTGGTGTAGTGGGAGGGGTTGATGCCAAATGGTGAGGATGTCTCTCTAAGCCTGGTAAAGATTGGTCACCCAGAGCCTCCTCCTTGGTGACCCCCAAAACATAACAAAGAGGCCAACCTTTTAAAAGGGCCTTGGGGAAAACCTCCTCCCAGTGTTTTATAAGGTAATAGCAGGTTAGGATAAACATAAAGGGCAAATATAAAACTGGAACCTGGGAAGGGGGTGGGCAGTCCCTGTGTTAGGATTGTTACTGCGGTAGTACATGGTAGCTTGCATAAGACTCATTTAATAAAGTGGGGGGAGAACCCCCAAACTAAAGGTCCCCCCTCCACCCCTCACCTCTTGCTTACTTCCCTGCAGGGTTGAGGAATTTCTAAGGCTTTTAGATGTAGAACTCCTGGAACATACCTTCAAAAGTCCTCAGGACTCCCTCCGACCCATTGAAAGCCCAGAGGGCTCTAGGCCAGTGGTTCTCAACCTGTGGGTTGACCCCTACAGGGGGATGCTGGACTCCTTCACAGGGATCACATAGTAGCTATCCTGCATGTCCGCTATTTACATTATGATTCATAACAGTAGAAATTGTGGATATGAAGTAGCAATGAAATAATTTTATAGTCCAGGTCACCACAACACGAGGAGCTGTATAGAAGGGTCCCAGCATTAGGAAGGCTGAGAACCTAGGCTCCTAGGCTCTCTCTTACATTCTCTTACATTCACACCCCAAAATGACAGATTTACAGAGGTTTGGCTTTAGTGATAGCTTGACCCCATGGGTCTCTTATTAGAGCTGAGGGAACTGAGACCTGGTGCTATTTCTTGTCTCAGGACATTGTACCAGATCACTCAGAGGGGAAATGATGGAGTTGGGATTCAATTAGAAATTTCTGACATTGGCTGGCTGGGCAAGGTGGTGAGTCACACCTGTAATCCTAGCACTTGGGAGGCTGAGGTAGGAGGTTTGTCAAGAGTTCAAGGCCAGCTTGGACTCCGTGGCAAGACCCTATCTCAGTGTATGAGGATGATGAGGGTGGCTGCTTGTTTTTCCCCACCTGCCTTCTCTCCTCAGCTGCCTGCAAGCCTTCTCTTGACCCTCACACCCATTTCCTCCCCAGGTTTCCGTGAAAGTGCTTTTTCCTTCTCCATGCTGGCTGCGGGGGTCATGCATGCTGTCGCTACAGCCTGCAGCTTGGGCAAGCTGGTGAGCTGTGGCTGCGGCTGGAAGGGCAGTGGTGAGCAGGACCGGCTCCGGGCCAAGCTGCTGCAGCTTCAGGCACTGTCTCGGGGCAAAAGTTTTCCACACTCACAGTCCAGCCCTATCTCCGGCTCAGGGCCCAGCCCTGGCCCCCAGGACACGTGGGAATGGGGCGGCTGTAACCATGACATGGACTTTGGAGAGAAGTTCTCTCGGGATTTCCTGGATTCTAGAGAAGCTCCACGGGACATCCAAGCGAGAATGAGAATCCACAACAACAGGGTGGGGCGCCAGGTGTGTGTGTGTTCTGCGGCTCCCGTCCTGTCTTTTGTTTCGAGATGGGGTCTTGCTATGTGGTACAGGCTAGCCTCAAATTCGGAACCCTTAGTCTGAGTGCTGTGATCGTGGGTGTGGCCACCAAACCCAACTTTTCTCAGTCTCTCTTTCCCTCCCTCTCTCCTGAGAGGCCCCACAGAGTAATAGGATGAGGTATGAGGGATGATCACCACTTGTTACTAGCAAGCTTGTCACTAGTAAGTCACCCAAAACATGTTTAGAATCTATAGGAAGCTGCCTGATGGTACTTATCATATATTAAGGCTGAGGTAGCACATAGTATCTGATTTTATTGTTTTTTAAAATTTATTATGTATGGCAGCCTGGTCTACAGAGCAGGTTCCAGGACTGACTTCATAGCTTCTGAGAAACTCTGCCTTGAAAAACCAACAAAACAAAACAAATTTAATGTGTATGGTTGTTTTGCCTGCGTGTATAGGTCTGTGCACCACTGTGTGCCTAGAGAGGGTATTGGAATCCCTGGAACTGGAGTTATAGACAGTTGTATATCACCATGTGGGTGGTGGGAGTTGAACCCAGATTCTCTGAAAGAGCAGCAGCCAGTGTTCTTAACTATGCAGGCACATCTTCAGCCCCGTGTAGAGTGTATGTGCTTAGTGCTTGGCTCATTGCATAGAAACTGCTCCAGCAGCTACCTTCCCCACACTCCGCTGCTCTTACCGGTGTTTACTCTGGAAAGAGCGCTGGCCTGGGATTTAAGACAACTGGAAGTCATCTCCTTGCTCTGTCACCAGCTAGTGATGAAAGATGAGCAAACCCCTGTGGCTCTACCTTTACAAAATGAGGTCCTTGGGCTGGTGGCTAACTTTCCTGACTCTCAACTCTTCAGTTAGGTTCCCTCCCTTCTCCTGTCTTCCCTGCTGTATTCATTTGCCATGCCCTCCATCTCTTCTCCTCTTGCTGTTCTGATGTTCTAGGTGGTAACTGAAAACCTGAAGCGGAAGTGCAAGTGCCACGGCACCTCAGGCAGCTGTCAATTCAAGACTTGTTGGAGGGCAGCTCCAGAGTTCCGGGCCATCGGGGCAGCATTGAGGGAGCGGTTGGGCAGAGCCATCTTCATCGATACCCACAACCGCAATTCTGGAGCCTTCCAGCCCCGCCTACGTCCCCGTCGTCTCTCAGGAGAGCTAGTCTACTTCGAGAAGTCTCCCGACTTCTGTGAGCGAGATCCTGCCGTGGGCTCACCAGGCACTAGAGGCCGGGCTTGCAACAAGACAAGCCGCCTGTTGGATGGCTGTGGCAGCCTGTGCTGTGGGCGTGGGCACAATGTGCTCCGGCAGACGCGGGTGGAGCGCTGCCATTGCCGTTTCCACTGGTGCTGCTACGTGCTGTGTGATGAATGCAAGGTCACAGAATGGGTCAATGTGTGTAAGTGAAGGTGAGCCTCACCTCGGGACTAAGGAAGAACACTGTGTGATGGGTGCTCCTTTTCAGCCCTTTGCTCTGATTTCTGTCCAGGGATAATCATGGTCCCCGGAAGCTCAAAGTATCTACCTGGAAACAGCTTTGGGGGGAGTAGGGTCAGGTGAAATCTGCCACGAGCAGCCTTTTGTGGGGGAAGTGGTCATCATATTCTGTTCTTAAACACCTGGATGGACTAAGATAAAATGTACTGTATTGTTCCCCTCTTCTCAACCTCTGGGGTCTGTCTCTTGGGCCCAGATTTATACTCCTTTAGATAGGGAGGCTATCATTTAGCCTCTTGCCTTCCTTGAAGGATAACACTGGACGTTGTGTGGAGTCATTAGATCTGTATATAGAAAGAGACCACGCCAGGCGGTGGTGACGCACGCCTTTAATCCCAGCACTCGGGAGGCAGAGGCAGGCGGATCTCTGGGAGTTCCAGGCCAGCCTGGTCTACAAGAGCTAGTTCCGGCACAGGCACCAAAGCTACAGAGAAACCCTGTCTTGAAAAACCTAAAAAAAAAAAGAGAGAGAGAGACCACCTCTTCCTATTTGTGGTCCTCAAACTCCTCCACTACAACCCAGAAGAACCTCCTCTTGTGGGGCCATGGGTGACAATAATGAGAGACTTCGGTTGAAAAAGGACAGATGACTGTCCTCAGAGGGCTGTCTTGTCCGGCGTATAGGGAATTGTTCTCCTTCCATTCAGTTGTTGAGAGGGTCCCTCCAAAGGGAAGGTTTAGCTATGACCCATGGAAGCTCTTTTTTCTTCTTCAGCAGGAAGGGTGGGAATGGATAATTTATTGTACTGAGACATATTCTTGGTTCCTGTTTGAAACTAAAATAAATGAAGTTACTGGACTGGTTGCTGGTGGGTGCAGATGGTGATGTCTAGCCACACTTGGGGCAGCAGCCTGTGGTTTTGTTGTGATTTTTGTTTTTTCCTATGTGAAGCCTACACTCCTGTACTCAGTGACTTTTTATGTATATCCTGCTGACTTCCAAAAAGGATTTGAAATGATGCTCAGTGACCAGTTCAGATTTTTAGTCTGTAAACCAAGGTGGGCTTTGGGGTGGCAAGATTTATAGATCCAAATGTACCCAGTCCCTGCTCAGCCTGAGCCCTCAACCCCTGACATCTGGTATCTCCTTCATCATTACTTAGAACAAAATTTGGCAACTTTTTTTTCCCTGCAAGAGGGCTAGAGGGTAAATATGCTAGGTTATTTATATTGTGGTCTTTAGGCCATCTACTCACCTCGGCCATAATTGCTCAGTTCTGCTGTTATAGACCCAAAATAGTTATGGTCAGGGGAAGGGACAAAAGCAGACACAGGCTCCATGTAAATCGATGGGTATAGCTGTGTTCACTACAGTCACAAACTGGTGTGCAGGGCCAGACTGCTCCTCTCTGTCATTTGTTGACCCCTCTCCTATATAAAGTCGCATCTGCTCTGGGGCTTTCAAGTCTTAAATACCACTTAACAATGAATATGAACGTAGAAGAGCAGGTACAATTGTCTCTAAGTCTGAGCCAGAGAATTTGGGGGTACATGCAAGGCTGATGGGAAAATACGAAAGGGTTTTCTATCTCAAAATGCAAGATATATCTATATCTATATCTATATCTATATCTATATCTATATCTATATCTATCTATCTCTATCTATCTCTATCTATATATCTATATCTATATCTATCTATCTATCTATCTATCTATATATATATCTTGCCCTCATTCTCCTGAATACTGGGATTATAGGTGGGCCCTACCAGGCCTAACTAAAATGAGATTTTTTTCTAGCAGAACTAGTATTTTCTGTCATTGAATTATTTGCATATATATTGTTCTTTATTCATTGTTCTTTTGTATTTAATCTGAGTAAAATAATTCCTTTATCTTTATTTTTTTCTACATTTATTTGTTGGGTGTGTGCACGTGCATCCGTGTGAGTGCACACGTGAGTAGATGCAGGCATACCAAGGCACTCATGTAGAAGTCACAGGATAACTTGCCGAAGCCAGCTGTCTCCTTTTACCAGCTCCAGGGACTGAGTTTAGGTCTTCAGACTTGGTGGCAAGTGCTCTTACCTGCTGGGCCATCTTGTTGGCCTCTCCCTTACCTTTTCAGATATAACTAGTGAGAATAGAATTTCTTCTCCAACAGCTCCAATTCCTAGCCCAATATCTTTGAAAAGAAACATTTGTTTGTTTGTTTTGTTTTGTTTTTGATACAGAGCTTTTTGTGTAGCCCTGGCTGTCCTGGAACTCACGCTGTAAACCAGGTTGGCCTCGAACTCACTGAGAACCACCTGCCTCTGCCTCCCAAGTGCTGGGATTAGAGGCGTGTGCCAGGACCTGAAAAGAAACATCTTTAAGATGAAATGTGGTGGGGGTGGCTGGAGAGATGGGTCAACACTTAAGAGCATTGTCTGCTCTTCCAGAGGACACGGGTTCTGTTCCCAGCACCCACAAGGCAGCTCACAACTGTCTGTAACTCCAGTTCCAGGGCTTCTGACACTCTCAGTCAGACATACATGCAGGCAAAGCACCAATGCACATAAAATCAGCCGGGCGATGGTGGCACACGCCTTTAATCCCAGTACTCGGGAGGCAGAGGCAGGCAGATCTCTGGGAGTTCCAGACCAGCCTGGTCGACAGAGCTAGTTCCAGGACAGGCTCCAAAGCCACAGAGAAACCCTGTCTCGAAAAACCAAAAAAAAAAAAAAAAAAAAAAAAGAATAAATAAATCTCAGCCAGGTGGTGGTAGTACATGCTTTTAATGTGAACACACAGAAGGGAGAAGCAGGCAGATTTCTGTGAGTTTGAGGCCAGCCTGGTCTACAGAGTGAGTTCCAGGACAGTCAAGGCTACCCAGAGAAACCATATCTCAAAAAACAAAAACCAAAACAAGTAAAAAAAAAATAAATCATTTTTTAAAAAGGCGCAGTGTGGACAAAGGACCTGCAGCACACTTTCGGAACACCTGCCTATTTAGGGGCCACAATATGCTCACAGGAGGGTTGGAGACAGCACCTGCTGCCCTTGCAGAGGTCATGCATTCAGTTCCCAACACCCACCACCTGTAAACTCCAGGGAACCTGGTGCCCTTGTCTGGCCTCTTCAGGCTCCTGTATACTCATGGGAGGCATACATGCAGGCAAAACACTTATACAGAAAATAAAAATAAATATTAAAAAAATACCTAAAAGATGCTGCCAGGGCATGCAGAAGTAATTCTCAATACTTCTCCAGGCAATAGATATATCCATTGCCCATGATTCTCTTAAGTCAGGCGAGAAAGCGCCAGGGGAACTGGAAGAATTTGAGAAGTGTTGGATCAGGGCAGTGCTCCATGGTGACATTAAACTTTTTATTTTGGGCCGGGCAGTGGTGGCGCACGCCTTCAATCCCAGCACTTGGGAGGTAGAGGCAGGTGGATCTCTGTTTGAGGCTAGCCTGGTCTATAAGAGCTAGTTCCAGGACAGCTAGGATGATTACACAGAGAAATCCTGTCTTGAAAAAAATAAAAAAGTAAAATAAACTTTTTATTTTGGGAGGCCAGGTGTGATGGTGCACCTTTAGTTCCAGTACTCAGGAGGCTGAGGCAGACAGATCTCTGCCTGGTCTTCACAGTGAGTTCCAGAACAGCCAGGGCTCTCTAGAGATACGATGCCTCAAAAACAAAACAAAATAACAACACCAAAATTGTGGGGGAGTTGAAGAGATGGTTCCATGATTAAGAGTACTTGCTGCTCTTGCAGAGGACCTGGGTTTGATTTCCAGCTGCCACATGGCAGCCTTCAACTGTCTGTAGCTGCGGTTCTAAGGGATCCAACGTCCTATTCTGACCTCCACAGGCACTAGGAATATACATGGTACACAGACATACATGTAGGCAAAACACTCATACACATAAATACGTCTAAAATTTTTTAAAAATATGTGTATATGTGCATGTATGCGTATCCAAAAGAGAGTCTTGAATTAGCTGGGACTGAAGAATTAGGGTGTTGGGAGCTGCCTGACATGGGTCTCTGCTGAGCCATTGCTCAGCTCCATGGCAACAGTTTCACAGATGCCAGACACTTGCTCACCTAATGTGTGAATGAGGAGAGGAGAGAGAAGGGACCAAAGTAAGGAATGGGCTTGGATAGACCAAGAATAATAGGGAGTATCCAGAACGGGGTTGCCTTCCACTCGGGAGGGAGCCCTCACTCCCAAGTGGAGCTGTGGCTGGAGTATTTTAACCTTTCCTGCTTCGTCTTCTGCAGTCCCTTTGGCTCCCTTTCGCTGCTAGCTTTCCCTTTCCTTTCATCACACACTCTGTGGCAAACTTCAGCCCCAAACCACAACCTTGACAAATTCCAACTGGGTTCTGTCAGCAAGGCCAACACCCCCTCCCGGTACAGGCACTGGGCTCAGGCCCAGGCTTGGGGTCAGTGACAGGGTGGGAGTATGCAACCCACCCACAGTGCTGGTGGCTACAATTTCAGCTTTTACTGGGCTCCCGTGGCAGCTGGAGGGAGGAGAGACTGATGAACACTAGGCCAGGCTGTGGGGCCTCCTTTAACCCTGGGTGAGCAATCTGTCCTCTAGGCGGAGAGCGGCAGCAGCTAGTCAGCAAGGTAGCACTTCTCTTGCTTGTGCCAGTCAACCCCTCTCATGCTACAGCTGGCGTTCTCTTCTCCCTGTCCAGGAGGGTGAAGGACAGAATCTGAGAGATTCTCAACCCTATCCATCATCCCCAAATTAAATAAGCTGCCAACTCTCTCTCTCTCTCTCTCTCTCTCTCTCTCTCTCTCTCTCTCTCTCTCCATTTTGGTTTGAGTGTTCTGCCTGCATGTATGCCTGCAGGCCAAAAGAGGGCACCAGATCTCATTACAGATGGTTGTGAGCCACCATGTGGTTGGTGGGAATTGAACTCAGGACCTCTGGAAGAGCAACCAGTGTTCTCAACCTCTGAGCCATCTCTCCAGCCCCCATTTTTTTTTTAAATCTTTTTTTCACTGTGGCATCCAACCATGAGAGACTTTAAAGCCTTCATTCATCAAGAGGCTCCAATTCCTTGTTAGAGTTCCGCACAGCATGAGGCTGTGGCTGGGGCACCAGAGAGTAGGGTGAGACGTTGTAGCACATATTTTTGGTAGTGAGTGTGGGGGTGTAGAGTCTGGCGGAGTGTGGTTAGAAAGTTTTAGGAAAGAGATGAAAAGGGGAATAATCACATAAAAGGTATGTCACAGGACACACTGCATGAATCTGTCTTAGGGGTTCTATTGCTGCGATAAACACCGTGAGCAAAAGCAAGCAGACTACACAGTCCATCACTAAGGGAAGTCAGGGCAGGAGCTTAGGGTCGGAACTTAGAGGCAGGAACTGAAGCAGAGGCCATGGAGGAGTGCTACTTAGTGATTTGCTCCCCATGACTTCCATAACCTGCTTTTATTTATTTATTAAAAACAAAAACAAAAAAACAACTTTTCTCAGCCAGGACAGTTACACAGATAAACCCTGTTTTAAAAAACTAAAACCAGGGGGCTGGAGATATGGCTCAGTGGTTAAGAGCACTGACTGCTCTTCCAGAAGACCCGGGTTCAATTCCCAGCACCCACATGGCAGCTCACAACTGTCCGAAGATCCAGTTGCAGGGGATCTGACACCTTCACACCAATGCACATAAAATAAAGTTAAATAAAGCATACAAATATTAAAAAAAAAAACTAAAACCAAACCAAACACTTTTCTTAAATTATTTATTTTACTTTTTTTTTTTTTAATGAGCATTGGTGTGAGGGTGTCAGATCTCCTGTAACCGATGTACAGACGGTTGCGAGCTGCCATGTGGGGACTAGGAATTGAACCTAGGCCCTTGGAAGAACAGCCAGTGCTCTTAACTGCTGAGCCATCTCTCCAGCCCCTCAGTCTGATTTCTTTTCTTTCTGTTTTTGAGACAGGGCTCTTTTATGGAGCCCTCCCTGTTCTAGAACTTGCTCTGTAGACCAGGCTGGCCTCAGAGTCAAAGAGAATCACCTGCCTCTGCTCCCAAGTTCTGGGATTAAAGGCATACACCACCATGGGTGGTTCAGCTGCTTTCTTAATTTTAACCTATTTTTATGTGTATGAGTATTGAGTATTTTGCCTACCTGTCATTTTCTACAGGCCCCCCCCCCCACAGCTGAGAACCAAACTCAGGGCCTTGTGCTTGCTAGGCAAACATGCTACCACATGCATACAAGTGACCACAGGGACCAGAAGAGGGCGTAGGATTCCCTGGGATTGAAGTTACAGACGGTTGCTAGCCACTATGTGGGTGCTGGGAATCTAACACAGGTCCTTGGGAAGAGCAGCAGTGTTTCTAAGCCATCTCCCCAGCCCTAATATGCTTTCTTATACAATTCAGGGGTGGCACTGTCTCAGTGCTCTGGACCCTCTCACATCAATAATCAACCAAGAAAAGTGTCCTACAGGCTTGCCCACAGGCCAGTCTGATGGGACATTTTCTCAGTTGTGG